GAAAAGAGAAAACTGATGCCACTCCCAGAGCCCACCACCACCCAGGTAGAGTGATGGTTAGGGTTGGTGTTGATGGTGAGGTTCGGGTTGAGTTAGGGATAGGGGTTGGAGGTAGGATTAGTGGGTGGGGTTAGGATTAGAGGTTATGGTTGCTTTTAGGGAGTAGGGTTAGGATTAGTGGTTAGGAATTAGGTAGTTTGGGGTTAGAGATTAATGTTACAATTGGGGTAGGGTTAAGTGCTAGGGTTAATGTTAGTGGTTAATGATAGGCTTGCTGTTGGGGTTAGATTTAGAGGTTAGGGTTAAAGATTATTAGAGTTCAAGGTTTAGATTTAGGGTTAGGGTAAGGTTAGGGTTAGGTTTCAGTTTAGGGGAAAGAGTTGGGTTTAGGGGTTAGAGGGGATTGGAGTTAAGTGGTAGGGTTCAGGGATAGGTAATATGTATAACATTTTAGGAGTTAAGGATTATAGTAATAGGTTCTGTTTATGGTTTATGGCTTAGGCTCATTGGATAGAGTTGAGGATAATGGTGTCTTAGGGAAAGGGTTAGGGGTTAAATATTAGGTGTTAAAGGTTAGGGTTAAGATTTAATATAAGGGGCTGGCTAGTTAGCTTAGTTGGTTACAGCATTTTGCTGATAACACCGAGGTCCAGGGTTTGATCCTTGTACTGGCCAGCTGACAAGAAAAAAAGAAGAGAATTAGATGCAAGGCCAATCGGAAGTTGGTATCATCCCAATCACCAAAGACAATGGCCAAAATGAGAAATTTATGGATGGAAAGAAAGCCCTTTAGGGCAGAATTGGTGACTATACAGGTGTGGGCAGTGAGGATAAAGGAGGTGTTGGAGATAAAATCTGGACATCTGTCTCCACTGAGTGATTAGATCTGGTCCTGCTGGCTGAAGAAGGGGATACTGACATGGTCAGATTCAGGTAAAGAGCTTGAGGGCCAGTTTAGTGACAATGAGGTCCTGGTATCCTCAGAGCACAGATTCCCATTCTAGAAAGAGCCAGTTAGACAGGCTCTGTTCTTGGACCCAAGGGCATGTTTAACTCATGGTGAGAGGCGCTCAGGACTTCTGCATCCCACCGTGCCTGATGTAATCACTGTCCAGTGAAGTCCAGCCTGAGCACATCCACACTGTAGGTGGAAACTCCACTGCCCAAGTGGCCACCATTGTCCTGCATGTCCAGGACCCAAGTCTTCTGGGGCACCAGAACCTTCCAAGTATAGAAGGGCCTGGAGGTTGAAGTGACCAGTGAGGAGTGGCATAAGTAGGTGAGGAGAGATGCTTAGGGGGAAGACCCTATTTATGTAAACCAAGATGGTCCTTTTCAGGACACAGGGTATGACCCTGAGTCAAGGGCAGTTCGTTGCAGGAAAGCCATAGAGAGTAGGTTCTGAAGAGTAGAACCACCAATCCTCCCAGGAGGCAGTCCTGCCCAATGGAACCCTCCACTCCCATCCAAGATCTTGTTAGACCAGGATATCATGAACTACTCAGAACACAGACAGTTTGTAAAAAAAAAAAAAAGAGGAGACATTTGTCTAGTGAGAAACTGAGCAGCAACCACTAGGGGGGAGGTAGGGAAGTGTGGCGATCTGGGTTTACAAGACTTCTGCTTGAGAGAGTAGTGCCACCTCCAGGAGAGGGATCACAAGAAAAGTGTGTGTCAGAGTCCAGAATGTGACCTGCCCGGCCTCAGGTGCCTGACAGATATCTGAGTGGATGTGCATAGTTATAATGTGTCTAAATATTAGTAATGACACAGACACCACCCTGACTACTGTATGGGCTAATTTCTGTCCTCTCCTCCCCCACCCAAAAAATTATTTTGCAATCTAAAACCGAGGAACTTCAAAAGGTGACTGCATTTAGGGACAGGGTCTTAAAGAGGTGGTTAGGTTAAAATGAGTCTGGGCCCTAAGACAATCTGACTGTTGTCCTCACAACAAGAGGGGATTAGGACATACGTAGACACACCAGGGGTGACTGTGCACAGAGGATGGCCATGTGATGAGGAAGAGAGAAGGCAAACATCTGCCAGCCAAGGAGAGAGCTTTAGAGAAAACCAATCCTGCCAGCACCTTGATCTTCAACATCCAGCCTCCAGAACTGGGAGAAAATACATGTCTGTTGTTTAAGCTGCTCAGTCTGTGGTGTTTTGTATGGCAGCCCAAGCAAACCCGTACAAGTAGCCAATATGAAATCTAGAGTAATGTGATCGGCTGTCTCTGTTCATACCTACAGGAGACTTGTTATACTCCATTTAGTGAAGAGGTGCTCTCATTCACAGCTTCTGCCAAAGTTAGTAATAAGTTTCCATTACGAGTTAAATTGTGTTTGCCCTTCCCCCAAATTTATATGCTAAAGTCCTAAACCACACAACCACAGAATGTGATGTTATTTTGTAATACTGCCGTTGCAGTTGTAACTAGTTAATCCAGTATGACTGGTGTCCTTATAAATAGCGGGAATTTGTGCACAGACCACACAGGGAGAACATTATGGGAAGATGAAGACAAACATAGGATGATGATTCTACAAGCCAAGGTATGTCAAAGATTGTCAGTATATGGCCAGAAGCTAGAGGAGAGACATGAACCAGATTCTCTAGGGTCAGAATGATCAGGTGACCTCCTTTTAGAACTCCCATCTGAATCTTAATTACCAGCCTTGCCGATTTATAGAATTAAAACTTGTGTGTACAGAGAAGACTCAAAACATGAATCCTAAAGTGCGTGAGGTGTTAATCTGAAACACACTGTATCAGGTGCCCTTGCTGCAAAGGAAGTGGTATCTAGTAAGAATATAGGGAGACCCAGGAGAAAAGGGGGTGTTTACAACGTGAGACAGGAACCAAAGTCTCATGTTAGCTGGGTTACTATGAGTCTGGTGAGTATTAGTCTGTTTCAGGTGGCTAATAAATGGCATATTACCCTACAATGGCTGTAGAATTAAAACTTAGAATAATAGGGTCGTATCAATAGATTGTAATAATAACCAGTTCTTTATTTGGGAGAGAGGGACAAACCTTTTCCAACTGCAGAGTACTATCCACTAGAAGACAGACAAATTAGTTTATTGGATGAGAACAAACATTTTCTAATGGCTTGGAAGAGAGCTACTGTAGAGCTAAGGCTAGGGTCTGAAACTCACAGACTCCTCAAGCCTGTTCACAAACCTTTCAAACGGAGGTCTACGAGCTAGGTAACTGGACAAAATGATCTTTGGAGACTTGGTTGAAGAAGGAATAGTCTTTATTCAGCACACACTACACTATGTGCTAGGCAGTACAAAGGAGAAACTCAGAAACTCAACCACTACTGGCAAAGTCCAAAGAAAACCAAACTGAGCAGCTGCCAGCAGAGTAAACAGGTCTATTGTTAGACTGAGCTCTGTCCCCAGGCTGCTTCACAAACTGCAGAACACACAAAAGCAATAACTAGAAAGATACACGGGTGCACATGCGCACTAACTTCACCCACACACAACTTGTTCACACTTAACGTGGAGGGAGCCTGACTAAATTATCCTATTTTCCCCACTCCTACCATATTAATTTCTCATTTGTTTAACCATTTAAAGGAAAATAGATGCATGATTTTTTTCCATCCTCTAAAATGCATCTGCAAAAATAAACATGGGTTTTATAACAGCAATACCTATATGAGAACTAAAAAGAGTAAAATTGCTTATTAATATCATGCTGCAATTGGCCCACATTTGAATTTCCCCATTATTCTCACAATACCCCAGGTTGTCAAACCAGGATGTAGTAAATAATCAGAATTCTACCTCGTAATAACGTGGAAAGAGACCAGTCTTGATCCATCAGGTCCTGGTCTCCTAGTAGCAAGAATCCCTGCTGAGAAAATAAACAAAATTTTCTCCTTAGGATGAGGGCAGAGGCTTGTGGGAAATGTAGTCCCCCTCCCCCCCGCCCCC